TCAGTGGTAGCCATTAAAAGAAGATGGAAGCACATTGACCATGTTTATGGCAAGTTATATTGTATGCCATTCATAGGAAAGGTGCTGTCAGAGGTTTCCATTTAGTTTTATGACCATTTAAACAGCAGCAAGCTGGAAACCAAGGAATATAATTTCCATTATAGGGAATATTGCCTGTGGGTGAAGGTGAATTCATTATTGGTGGACTTTTGCTCAGCACTGCAGCACTACCAGCACTGCTCTTAATAAATAGACAAAGGAATATCAGGATGAGCTACAGTATGTTCACAATCTACCCGGGACAGAGAAGTAAATTTCACGACGACGAGCGAGCGAGCGAGCGAGCGCGAGGACACCACAGCTACACACAGCAGCAACACTCACACTGAGCGAGAGAAGGCGAGAGCGAGCGCGCGCGCGAGCAGCGGGCGTTCGCGGGCGGAGAGCGAGGTGTGCACAGGGGGTTGCAGAGGGCATTCTTTGTACTAGTGGGGTGAATGAAGAGGGTCTGAGGCTTGTGAGTATGCAGTATGTCAATGTCAATGGCACACAGTTGCACAAACAGAAACACACACTGCACTACTGAACATTGCATCTGCATTTTTGTACTCAAAAAGGTATCTCTCATAGGGTGAGAAATTAAAACAATAAAGGGCTACCCAAAAAAGGTATTATAATGGTATTCAAATACAATAATTGTGCAAAATGTATTCACTGAATATATAAAAATAATCATTTACAGTTCCACTGAAATTTCAAAAAGATGCATTTTTCTTTCTTTTATTTTTTATTTTATCAATGCCATGCAAGATGCTTCCTTACGGAATGCTCTGTAAAGGTCACATTGGTGTTATGGCTATTGAGAAGAAAAAATAATTCACTTTTCCTTCATGCTGCATGGTTGATTGATTGAATAACACAAACTATACCCACACATGTAAGGATTCATCAGACCCTGAAGAACAATCAGCCTTACATATCTACAACACGTCTATACTGGTGTGTACGTCTATACTGTAGTGATAAAAACAGATAAGTGGCTAGCTTCTACAGAATCTGCGACAGCAGTGGCAGCGGAGTCGTTTGTGTTGTGAAGTCAGTGTCCCTTTTGTAAGGCCTTTTCACAAAGTGGAGCCAGGATGTGCAGTTGCCGGGGCAACGCTTCTGCCTAAGTCACTCAGGCGATCCCCAGCCAGACCTCAGCCTTTAGAGCAGCATCCACCACAGCTCAGCAGCACTGCAGCAACACTGTCAACAGTGAATGTATACAGGTGCACCAGAGAACTGGGAAGCACAAGCAGTAGAAGAAATTCAGTCTAGTGTGCTGTCTAAACTTGCTTTCAGTGCAGATCAACTTGTTTTACGAACTTCCAGTAAAGTAAGTAAAACACACTGTGGTACATTGGCCGTAGTGGAGTATGGCAGATAATTTCAATATGCATCATGATTTGTTTAAAGAAACTGCAGTGTATATACTGTAGTAAGTATAACTACATGTTCTACCTTTTTAAAGTATTTTAATAGACTAAACTATATTAAATTACTTGTGTACAATATGTAATGACATGTAAATCATCAAATGTATTTTTATTGTTGATTTCATGATGTAAAACAAGTGTATGTTTAATAAGGCTACATTTAACAACGTTTAACATAACTGCTCCCTGAAAAACAGCCATGTGATAAAGCAATTTAATGACTCAATGTTTATATGATTAAGCTTTTAAAGGAAAATTCTTCCTCAAACAACCCTGTGCTACCCTACAACTACCAATATCTGTTAAGTGTGTCAGTTTTAGGCATCTTCAGTGAGTAGTACACAGGTTTTTGCTGCATTTAAGACATTAAATATCATCAAAGTTTATCTTCTATGTGTTTTAATAGTAAATAATATTCCAGTGAGAAGAATAGGTTTACTTGCAACAACAAGCACCAAACTTTGTCAGTGGGCATTGGGCTTTCTCTTAGTAGAGATACTTTCTATTCACTTGTACCAGAATACATTTGGGAAACTTGAAAAAAACACCATGTTATGATGATCCAAAGAGCGTGTATGCAGACATGACCTTTATAACCTGCTGTAGTGACTAGTACAGCTGCATAGTGGTGTGTCCATAAGCTGAACAGAAAACTGGTCCAGTTAATAAGTACACACTTTTATCAATATATGAATTACAAGAGTAAGTAAATACATGTTAAAATTCACTGCTAAGATAGAGAGTAGGCAAGTACAGTCGATGGAAGGTAAAGTACTATGTGCACTGTGTGCTACAGAAATATAGTAAGAATTTCTCCTCAGGTAAAAGGAAGACACTGTGCAACTAATACAAATGAGTGTGTGTACTCTTTTACAGGTGCACTAGCTGGATTTACAGCTTATAGGGCAGTTTTTACAATAAGAGTTCCCTTGCTACAGTAGTTCCTACGCCTTTATATATTTCTTCCCACTGGGACCAGCAGCTTTTAGAGAACCATTCACAGCTGCTGACTCCCAGCGAGGTGCTCCAATAGGGAGAGCAATGTTCCCAAACGCAAACATCTACCTCTATCATCTTTTTTGTATTCACACCTGCTGATACTACTGATCTTGCTCTGTTTCAAGGCTCTCACACACACACACACA